CTAGTTGTATTACTTGTATTCGGGACGAGAGCATTGGCGGAGCAAACCCAGTATTCTAGAAACAGCCTTTTGTGTAGAACCTGGTTACGCCACACCAGGTAACTTTCATACGAGAGCGCAACAAAACAAGAAGGGCCAAAAAAAAACAAGATGCCTAGATTTAAAGCCGGCCTACATGTAGATCCGGCCGGGTATTAAACCATCACTTGTAACACATACGAGAACAGGTTACCATAGTACCGGTAAGCTTACAGACAAATTACGTACCTGGCCTATGGCGATATCCTCAATACATATATACAACAAGATATACTAAAAAGGCCAGGGCCGGGGAAAGTGTGGTAAAGGGCATAAGCCCCATACACGCCATTCTGAAAAGCAACAAACAAAAAGTGCTTTATATATGAAGTGAGGGGCCATTGCAGCCTCTACCAGGCACCGCGGATCGCTGGAAAATTGTAGAAATTGGTCGAAATAAAAGGATAGTATACCAGAGAAGATCCCGGGCCATAGAAGATCCAATTTACTATCCCTTTATTTCTGCCAATTTCTACTATTTTTCCAGCGATCCGCGGTGCCTGGTAGAGGCAAAGGCCATTGTAGCCTAGAAGAGTGGGGCTACGCAGAAATAACTACAGTAACATTTTAAATGATAAATACATGTAAGAATGATAGCTCTGTGGAATCATGTGTGTAACTGTTAGGTTCAAATTATAGGTCATATGTCCTGAGTTGAAAGCCACCAAAGTATACAGTAGCATAGGCATAGGCACTGAACACAACTTTCCTCACTTCATTCAGAGGAGAAAATGGGTAACTTCGGTTAGGGACGTCCCTCGGATCGGATAGAAAAACACAGTGAAATGATATGACGAAGTTCAAATATATATTCATCGACGGAGAAGGTTAGGCATTAAAAAGTGTTTTATTGGTCATTCGCACAATAGTGTCAAGACACTGAATCAAGAACAAATATACAATACGTATAGTTAATGTCCTGTTCTTTTATAATGGAATTGTTAGTAAGAATTGTAGATGATTACGGCTTCAGGGCCACGAAAGTCGCTTCTTGTCACAACAAGATGGCCGCTTTGTGAAACAGAGGTGACGGTGACAGCGTGTCATATCATAAACGTCCCTGACTGTCAAATAGCAAAGACTGCTACAAATATTTATACTTTCCACAAACTGTCAGAGATTGGAACATTTTGCCCCAAGAGATAACTGATACTGCGGAACCTACGAAGTTCAACGCCGCAGTACTACAACACCTGAGGACGCATCGCACAGCTCCCCTGAACGCTTTACCCCAATCTAGGGGTGTTGTGCAGTACCCGAACAAGAACGAGAGCTGTTAGTAAGAATTGTAGATGAGTACGGCTTCAGGGCCATGAAAGTCGCTTCTTGTTACAACAAGATGGCCGCTTTGTGAAACAGCGACCCCTACCGGATTCTTCACGTCAGTGACGGCGTGTCGTATGAAACGACCTTCACCGTCAAATAGTTCGATCCGGCTGTTTTCCTCGTCTGCTACGATGATATTTCCCGAGGAATCCGTGCAGATGCCGCGGGGCCCCCTCAACTCACCTTCACCGCTTCCTTCGCCTCCAAAGGAACGCAAGAACTGTCCTTCCCCGGAAAACATAAAAATCTTATGCTTTCCCGTGTCAGACACCAAAATATCTCCAACTTGAGTAACTGTTATGTGCTGAGGGTTTTGCATACCAAAGTCTTCGCCCTTGATCAAGTGAACCACCTTATCATTCAGATCGAACATCTTGACGTCACTTCCGTCTATGACAATGACGTACTTCCTGTTGGTATCTACAGCGACATCTTTGGGGTTTTCGAACCTGACAACTTTTCCCAAGTACTCCCCAGCGGTATTGTAACGGGCAATGGCGAATTCAGGATCAAAATCTGTAGGTAATTCATTATGCACTACTACCCAAAGATTATCGTCCCAACCTAATGCTACTGCAAAAGGCTTCATCGCAATATGCCATCCCCAGGCCTCTTCTTCAACCAGAGTTTTCATTTGCCCAAGATATTGTCCATTATGATCAACCTTCTTTATTCTATAGTTACTCTCGTCTGCGATATATAGCACGTCATTCCGAAACATGGACACGCCGCTCGGGTTGTCAAATTTCCCTTGCTCAAACCAAACATCTATAGTTGAGACATTGTACACCGCGAGAGCGATAGATAACCCGATAATCAACTGCAGAAAAGATCGCCTCCAAGCCGTACTGTTAGTGTCAATTCCCGCGGCCTTTTTTCGTTGTGTTGAATCTGAGGCTGTGATTGTGGAGTCTACCCTCAGTTCACCCATTTCTTGAATCTGTACATTCATGCCTTTCGAAAAGAAAGAGATACGCTGTTACAGACTATTACCACTAAGACAAAGTTCACCCTATATGGTACACAGTACGATACATTCCATGAATTATTGTCATCCAACTACCATATCTGCTTACGTAGGCCAATTTCTGTACGTATACACTATTCCATAAGCGAGACCATATCATCAATACATGACCATATTGCAACTCATATACTGTATAGATAGTACTTTGTAGTCAGAAATGTAATAAGATAGTTTAGTTTTGTGATATTGTTGTATTACTGCCACACATTGTACCATGTACGATTGTCGAGAAATAATAAATGATGATGAAAGTTCTCTGTACCTTTTGGTTGGAATGAGGTCACCTGAGTTTGCAGAGGAGTCGGTTTTGTTTGGTTTTCCTCATAATCCCCAAAAGTCGTGGTTAACTCAATTCCCTGGCGGAGAAAGTCTCCTCCTCCTTGTTCCATCGCGTTTTCTGTCTTATCACAAGCGCTGGACAACTCGGCAACCTGTTTCAGAAGTTTGTCCTTTTTCTCTTCAAGTCCCGCTACATTCTGTTGGTGATTTTTGTTCACCTCTTCAAGCAGGTTTTCCTTTCTCTCGGTTAACTGTCGGATCAACTCATCGAAGGCTTCTGTGACTTCCCCCTCGACTTTTGCCTTGTTTTCGTTGATCGTGTCTTCTAGAGTTCGAAGCTGTCTCAAAGAGTCGCAGTCTTCTTGTAGACAAGAGCGCCCCTTGGCGATTATGTCGGAAAATGCAGCCTTCTTTGTTTCCGCCGCCTTTCTGGCTGTTGTTACCGTGTGATTTGGGTGTTTGTCGTCCCAACACTCACTGCAAATAACAGCTTCGCAGTCCGTACAAAATAGTTTCAGTTCTTCGGGCGGATGAGCTCTACAATGACTCTCAAATACAGCCGTACCTTGCTCTAGAACCGTGTCACACAGACTGGAAATAAAATGGTTATCCGGAAGTCCAGCAACCCCATCGGGACACAGCACAACCTGTCGGCGGCATGTTGGGCACTGGAACCCGGGGCGAACCTCTGCGTGGTCACGTAGACAATCCTCACAAAACGTGTGGAGACATGGAAGCGTCTTAGGGTGATGGAAAGGCTCCAGGCATATGCTGCAGGACAGGAACTCGTCCCGAACTTGCTTCCGAAAACTTGCCTCTGTGTCCGCCATTTTGGTTCAGTGTTTGGTTCATGGTTCGATGACCCCGCGACCGCACCCTAGGGGACGATCACAAATTCTACAGAAGGGGTTCGTTTTGAAAAAAAAATGTACCCAAACATGTAGACCGTTCTTTTGAATCAAAAATTTTAAATTAAGCTTTGAAAAAAAAAAAAAAAATCAGGCTCTGAAACATTTTTCTCGGTGAAGCCTCAATGCACTTATTTATGATTTATTGCAGGTCTAATGTAAAAAAAAAAAAAAAACTTTTTGGAATAATTCTACATGCAAATTTTAAATGACAATCAATTCTCCGAAGGAAATTTGGTATGATTTCTCCAAATGTACTGTATTGAAACCTGCACTGAACAGGAGATGTTTTAAAAATAGCAATATGGTGAATGCCAATTAAGTTTAAGACCCCCCCCCCAATTCATTATTGATCAATTTCACGACACATACATTGGCGTAAAATTGGCCAAAAAAAGCAAAATTCTACAACCAAACATCGTGCGTTATAGCTGCAAAGGATTGGTGACACTCAGTTGGTCACAGTAGAATTGTGACCGGAATGTATAGACAAATAGAGCGGCAAATGTATAGTGTTTTACAGTCAAAGCGTGGCGAAGCATGATCTCCAAGCAGATCTCTTTCGGTGGCAAGGCAATATCCATTAGCCAGAGAAGGTGGCCGGCCACCGACGGGGGGGGGGCCGACAAAAAAGGGGGCAATATTTAAAACGCTAACGATCATATTTCCCCCACAACCTCTGCTTGGAGAGTTGGTGGGAGTACCGACAAAAAAGGGGGGATATATAAAAAGCTAACGATCATATTTCCCCTACAACCTCTGCTTGGAGAGTTGGAGGGGGTACCGACAAAAAAGGGGGTAATATATAAAAAGCTAACGCTCATATTTCCCCCACAACCTCTGCTTGGAGAATAGGCGAAGCAGGTACTGAATTATTTACACCACCGTCTCGCTTCAGCTCTCTATTCAATTAAGGACCTTTTTTTTTTTGGTCAGCCCATAAGAAAGATTCTATACATTTTTGAATACGTTTAGTTTTATTAAAAAATAGGTACGACCATTTTTCAGATCTGGCCATTCTTTATAAATTATATCCAGCACAAATAAATTTGGTTTCTTTCAGAGTACAAAAATAATTATATGATAGCGACGTATCAGTAACATCCTCTCACTGCATATAGTGTTTAATTTTTTTTTTTTTAATCATTATCATGCCACCTAACATCTGCTTGGAAGACACGCTGCGAGGTCACGTACGCGCGAAAGGCATGACGGGACGGGACGTAATTAAGGGTCAACGTCCGGAAGTGGAACGGTGTATTTTAGTACAGCAGTGCACAGCGTAACGCACAACATGTAACACCGCGGGCCTTTTTACAACCACATTCTACACCTATACGTTGTACAAGAACGATAGACAAGGTAGGTAACGCTTACAGGTTGTTACGATCTACTGTTTCTGTGTAAAATCGGTAAAATTAGAGACCAAAACGACACGGAAGTGAATGGCTCCGTTAGCGTAACACGACGTATCTGTCTATGGATTTTAAGATAAAATCAATGGAACGCATAATTGACTAGACAACGCTATGTACAACTGGCATAAACGGATCCCAAATTCATGTTGAATTGTACACATATATATCATGTAGGATATCTGAAGAAGGAATGCAGATTTCTCAGGTGTCTACGTGTATACTGCTGGGTCATAACGGTAGCTAGTTAATCATTTATGACATTTCTATACACGATTTTTCCTAATTATCGGGATCGTAAGAACAGGAACGGAAGCAAGTCAAGGTAGGGAGGCATTAGGCAACCAACAGTAGATGATAGGTAGTACGTATATTATTGTTGTAATGTATAGATTCCTAGCACTTAAGTTAGTATTAGAATATAGCGTTCCAGTATGCAATACTCATGTTTTTATCCTCTTGTGCATTTAGCCCATCTGGGCAAGAACATGCAATAAAGATTTATATCATCATAACCAAATATTAGACGTTGAACATGTGTATGACAAACATATGTCACACACAGTTGTCACGTGTAGACAAAATTGCTCGTCCTAAATGCCTACACGGTTTCAGTGATAACAAAGAATGGATTGACCTTTGACATAAGTCCTTAGGCAAACGATGTCCCCTGTGACAAAATTAGATTAACCCTAGCCCCCACCAGGCCTTTCGACGGGTATGCGGATCGTAGAATTCGGCAAAAAAAAAGAGAATAAAATTGGCCAAGGGAGTCCGGGCGCGGGGAGGTAGTTTCTTTCCCTCCGAAGGCGGCCAGTCAAACCTACAAGGCGGTCAAACTCCCCTGGCAAATATTCTCCTACATACATGTATAGCCAGCGTAGTTAGCGTGGAAAGACTACATTCAATAGTCTATTGTTTTTCTGCCATAGTTGTCGTATGTTGCAAAATAGGCAAGCTATGCCGAATACTGCATTTTGCTTAATTTTACGGAACATATATCAATGCAACCCCACCCCTCCCTAAACCCAGTTCACTGTTGACATACTAAAGCTTTTCCAGTGGCTTAGCACCAACAAAGACACCTTTTACTCGCACGTCAACGCCTGTCACACACTAGCACACCCGTTTGTTTTGCTTTAGGCGGTCGGCAGGACTTTTTGGAATGAGAATACACAAGCTAGGTAACCATAATACAGCTGTGAGAAAAGTTGCTTATTTCAGTAATTAAGTTCGGACATGGTCTGCTCTGTTTCAAACACATCAACATACATGTACTACTAGTACATGGTGACTGGCCAGGTCAGAGGTCACTGAAGAAGAGGAAGAGGAAACTGAGCAAAAGCAATATGTTTTCCTTCGGTAAACATAACCAACAAAGCGATAGAGATAATATATATTCTCAATCATACACAAATGATACGAATGAGAACGTTAACATTAATGATATCGACTGTAGCAATCTGTATATTCTAATAGCTATTAAGTACAAGTGTTGTATTATCCGTTATATGCTGAGTGATAGTTTGTTTTCAAACCCACAGATTGAAACGGCCACCCAACATCTTAGTCATCTACGCAATGAAGAACGCTACTCTGATCATCTTTATCCTGCTGGCGGGAAACATCTTGACGTTATTTTACGTCTTCTCCGGAAAATTCAGCATCTTGGGAAGGTACGTCACAAGAGGATTGGCCAATCAGCGAGCATCACCGACTGCTCACGATCGTGTCCACGATCTATCCCGACTGTTGCCGAGGCCCGTCGACTTTGAACGACACACAGCCGACATTAACGACAGCAAAACGAACGATTCACGACTACAGCCGAAGGTTACGGAATCGCCCGAAGAGCAGGAAGGCAGTGTTCTAATCCTAACTCCCGTTGCTGGAAAAATCAAGGCAGTACCAAAATATCTTGCGTTGGTCAAATCCCTTACGTATCCCCGCTCAAAGACATCTATAGCAATCCTTATGAGTAACATTCACGACGAAGAATCCTTGAACAACATACACGCCATGATGGCGGAATTGAACGATGAATTCAAAAGTGCCAGGCTGTTTAGAAAAGACTATGAAAAGATTGTGATTGGTCCCGAGCGGCACTCGGAATGGATGCAGAAGGAGAGGAGAAGAATCCTGGCGCAGAGTCGGAACCAGCTACTCCTCAGGGCCCTGGGGTCGGAACAGTGGGTGAGTAGTCACCGGTTTCACATTTTTTTAATATTCCAACATATAATCACAAGACGTGGTGACGACACACGTTTTTTTCAACTTATATTAATGCCGCTACCAGCATAGGGGACAATACAATACTCATTTTCACTTGAGGGAAGTGAGGAAAGTCGTGAAAAGTGCCTTTCCCAAGGGCACAAGATCAGTGGCATGTCAGGACTCGAACTCGGGACCTCTTGGTTCCGAGTCGAGCACTCTGCCGCTTATAATACACCACACGACCCATTCCCATGACTGCCATGGCTTATAATAAACAGGGAAGATAATTTTTCGGCCAGGGGAGTTTGGCTACCAAAGCAGCCCTTTGGACGAGGTACTATCTTCTACTTTTCATCAGTTAAAGAAAATTTTCTAAATCTAAATTCCATGAGAATCTGCTTTCTTGAGAAATTAAGAATATTCCCCGTGCACTTGTCAGGTCCTGTGGTTAGACTTTGACCTGATCGCCCTCCCACCAAACATCACGGAGACTCTGATAGAGGCAGACAAGCCCATAGTCGCCCCACACTGTGTGTACGGACCGCAGAACGACACATACGATCTCAACTCTTACAAGGTAAGTTAGTAGAATATTTTTGTCTGGTTTAGTGAAATTTTTCAAATTACAGCATCGCAGTAGCCCTTGACAGGGCCACTGAATTGCACTGATCTTTTACATAGGTTTACTGTAGCTAATAGTGCACACAATTCACATAAAATCACCACATATAAGATATAAAATAATAAAATAAAATGATATGATAATACATAAAATAATAAATAAAATATTCCTAAAATCAGTGACGTTTTTATCGAGGTAAAAACACGTGCCTCCAAATTTTCCAAGTCCAAGTGCCTTTCCCAGGGGCATAATATCGGTGGCATGTCAGGACTCGAACCCGGGACCGCTTGGTTCCGAGTCGAGCACTTTGCCGCTACGTCATCCCACAAAGGGTTATGTTATGTGTTTCTTTTCGACAGGAAACTAAGGATTTTCACCAGTGGAAGAGACTGACCATGAAGTCGGACGACGAGCTTCTCCTAGCAGGTTACGCTGACTCTCCACCCGGGAGACTGTACATGAGGGACTTGAGGAAAAAGGTGTGTGTGTGTGTGTGTGTTTGTCTTTGTGTATGTATGTGTTTGTTTGTGTTTGTGTGTGTGTGTTTGTGTGTGTGTGTGTGCTGTGTGTGTGTGTGTGTGTGTGTGTTGTGTGTGTGTGTTTGTGTGTGTGTGTGTGTTTGTGTGTGTAGTGTGTGTGTGTGTGTGTGTGTGCGTGTGAGTGTGTGTTTGTGTCTATGTCTGTGTGTGCGTGTGTGTGTGTGTGTGTGTGCATGTGTGATGTGTGTGTTACGTCATTTCCCGTGTACATACGTCATTTCCTGTGACCTGTAGGGCATCAAACTGACGGAGCTGGATGCTGTGGGCGGCACCTGTCTTCTGGTCAAAGGTCGTCTCCATAGAGACGGGCTCATATTCCCGCCTTACGTCATGGACAATAAACTGGAAACCGAGGGTTTGGTCGCAATGGCCAAGAAAATGGGCTATCAGGTAAGGAGCACCCGTTCTGGATTGTCTGGGTAGTTTTTTGGTGCTTTTGAAAGTCTATCTGCCGTCCAAAGTCAAGACAATATATAGCATGTTCAAAACAGAGGATGCCAATTAATGCTTACCCTGCGGTACCGAGTAAAGCCGCTAGGAGGCCCCACACATGATGGAAATCTTTGGGATCGTAACATCAACATACACCAAACGTCATCACATTCAAATGACGGTAACTACCTTAATCCCTCGTCCATACACTCCTAAAATTTGGAAATACCCGTAACCTTTGTCCACACAACTATACACGAAACAAACGTAAAACAAAACAAAACAAAAAATTAATGCTTTCACGCCACAGTATTAATACATAACATGTTTTTATTGTTGTTTGTTTTTTCACATCGCCAACAGGCTTATGGCTTACCCCAGGTCATTGTCAGACACTGATGTAGCAGGTGGATCCAGCCGCCCAAAACCGGGAGAAATTAGCAGTAGTAGACTATTCTTCCATCAATGGCTGCTTTTGTAAGGTAAAGGTAAAAAGTCACGTACCTGCAAATTTTCGGTGTCGACTGTACACCTTGATCACTGATTGAAAAATATTCTACTAATTGTTAATTCTACGTGACTGATAAACCTCTTCAACGGGAGAAACTAGTATCATCTCCGGAACAAACACGTAAACAAACGCCTATAGCATCAAAATGAAGTTATGATATATTTTTTGAGCAATGTTCAACATTTAGTTTGATATTATACCTAGTGCCTTTTCTAGTGCCTTTGTAGTGTATTTTTACCCAGTAGATTTAAAAGTTACCATTTTATTTCCAGTTTTCTTGTAGTCTTACCAGTGTTTCTATTCCTTTCTTAAATTTCCTTTCGTACTCAAAATTAGTCCTCGGGCAAGAGTTTGTGATAAAGAATTTATAGAAGCAGTACATTAATTTCAGCAAAGATTGATGATTTGAACCAAAGAGAAATATTGTTGCATTCGGATATTTTATGTATATTTTGAATGATTCCTAAAATGACTTATATTTTAAGATTTGTAAACTTTGAAAAGAAACTTGTAAACTTTAATACGCTGCTCTTGATTTAGATAGATTTCCGATACTTTGTGTTACATGTGTTTGTTTATAAAGTCTTTAGAAAACAAATTTTGAAAGCTGTAAATTTTCTAATTTTTGTGCAATCGTGATTGGTCCATCCTGAACCTTATGTCGTGCCTTTATCGTTGTCCAATAGACAAAAAATGTTTATGAAAATTATGATTTTCTTTTATCAAAGGCCAAAAAAGTAATTGCCAATATCGTATTATGGCTATTGATAATATTACCAAACAAAAGAAGTAACGTATTTATGAAATCGTAAATTATTAGGAAATGTAAATGATATAATTATAGTAAATAGAGATGAATTACAAATTATGAAATACATGTATCATTTTAACTGATTGTATATGTGTGGATAATGTTTTAGTTTTTCCAACGATTTACTGACGTATTGTTTATTGTTTGAATATGTGCAAATAAAACTTCATTTTTTCGAATAATCATCCGAATGGAATTTCTGTACAGATACGCAAATAGTTTTAGGTTTTTAAATTTCTTTAACATTCCAACATGACTACACATGGTGACGACACACTCAAGTTATATCAACTTATTTTATGCCGCCATCAACGCAAAGGACAAATACTGGACAGGACAATACTTAATTTGACCAGAGTTAGGTGAAGTGAGGAAAGTCGTGTAAAGTGCCTTTCCAAAGGGCACAAGATCGGTGGCATGGCAGGGCTCGAACCCAGGACCTCTTGGTTCCGAGTCGAGTACTCTGTCGTTACGCCACACGACTCCACAATTTTCAAAATTATATCTAAATTATCTTATCATTAACAGTTTTTTAAAATTATGTTTACTGAAAGAAAACGTGTTGTTTTTGCTCTGTTTCTTCCTCTTCTTCTTCTCCAGTTACCTCTGGCCAATGACATGATTTGTTGACGTCTGTCACCATGGTAACGTGTTGGGTTACATAATGTTGCAATTTTATAGGAGGGATGTAGACTCCTCTCTGACCATATATATGAATTCAATGTGAGTATTTGAGTAAGAAGAGCAAACCATATGCGAAGGTAAACATTATGCATTTTTTTTCAAATGTTACCTTTCTAGTTATTATTTGACTCTTCGTAGACCTTATACATCTCCACTCTGCCGTTACACCATACGACTCCACAATTTTCAAAATTATTCTTAAATTATCTTATCATTAACAAGTTTTTTTTTCAAATTATTATTTGACTCTGAGCTGGAGATGTATAAGGTTTTCCTCGTTTCCCACCCTGGCCTGGCTACTGTGCCTTGCAGATACACATATGTAGTCTCCACTTGACTTCTTTGCAGGCTAAATAAACAGTAGAAATTGGCCTGTAAAGGAACGTAACTGGTGAAGGAATTTAGCTGTTCAACCTTATACATCTCCAGCTTCGTAGCCCCTATACATCTCCAGCTCCCGGGATTCCTTCCTCCGGTTCCGATTTTGGTACTTGATCCAGTTCCGGATGACCCGGTCGATAAGGACCGTGGTGGTCAGTTCGTTTCCGCTGTCTAACATCTGTGGGAATACGGAATCATTTACCATATTTAGTAATGGCACATAATATTATGCAGTCACAACACTCTTGCTAAGACCATTCTGCAAAGGCACGATGCCCTGGCCGGGGGAGGAAATGAGGAAGGCTATTTGTAATAAAGAAGTGGCTGGATAAAGTCAAGTGTTGAATTTTGCATTGTCTCGTTCTCCTATCATTTTATTGCTTTCGTCATTGGGTGGGGAATTGGTCATGCCTTTTCAATATCTAAATGTAGATGTCAAGTTGTTGAGATATGGGAATTAATCTGGAATTAAAGTTCAAGATTTACCGATTTTGTACATTACCTTGAACTTGCCCATGGCCTTGGGGACGGCGAATGGGTCTCCCCCGTCCTGACAGGGCGGCACAGGACTGCCCGGCTTCCCGTGACACACCAGGTCTATAGACAGCTGATCCATCAGCTCTTCTGTCACCTTTAATAACCACATGTTAGAGAATAGTTAAACCTTTGTTATTACCGCATACATATATTCTGTATTACTGTTCCCTGTTGTTTATGTCATGTATTTTGTCGCTGTATGTTTGGTGGTGAGGTTAAAATTAGCTACAGCTAGAGTACCTCACCACCATGTATTATACATGTCGAATTGAAAAAAAAAAATATGCTGTGCGTAGGATGACGTTATCCACACATGTAATCAGCTTTGTTAAACCTTTAGTCGTCTATACAAAAGTCCCTGTACTTTTTGTTGTGTCAATAAAGAATCTGGGTAACATTAAGCAATAACGGACAACACTTAAGTTCCTGCTCTGAAACAAAAGGAGCTACTTGACTAATTTGCATCTGCTTTTTAATCAATCCTACAATATTCTATATTATCCTCACATGCAAACACGCGAAGAATACATGTATAAGCAAAAGTGTGGTTTGCAATAATTTCTTCACTTTATCGACGTAAAGTTCCAAACACTTACCTTGTACGGTGCGTCGATCACCACTTCTGACACGTATTTGCAGGCCAGCAATGTCAAGACTCGCTCATGAATATTCATGATGGGATGGTTGCAGCCCTTATACCTGCAGGTTGCCATATGTAGCCACACGGCCAAGATTAAAATAAACTAGTCTCCACCAGACCCCTTTGCAGGCTAAATAAATAGTAGAAATCGGCTAAGAGGGGCATCATTGTCACAGATCTGTGCGGCAAGCTGGGCCCTCTATGGCCGGCCAACTCCTCTGGCCAATGATTCCCCCCTTAGCCGATTTCTACTATTTATTCAGCCTGCAAAGGAGTCTGGTGGAGACTAAAAATTAACGACGTTTCGAAATATCTAGACTGTATAAGAATACGGGTTGGCTAATACAGAAGTTGGTAAACATTGAATAAAGTTATTTTTAAAAGTTGTTTGAAAATAGCATTCACAATTCACAATCTATTTAATCTTAAATAGCTTTAAACAATGTTTGAAGTTAGATGTTCAAGGGGTTAGGTGTAACAAGTCGTTCGGTGTAATGGTAATGTAGCCGCCTGCCTGCGAAGCTGGTGTGTTAAGCTAAAAGGCGGTTATACCGGCTATAGAGAATCTGGTACATGCAGAATCTTAAATGTATTAGTCGAAACAAAGTCAGTTATATAGTGATTTGACGAAAAAAAATTAGTAGAACAAGAGAATCAGACGACAAATACCAATTGACAACGGCGTCGCCATGGAGACCGATGATGATGTAGTCCCCCTCCTGACGGGCCCTCTCCAGAAAATCAAGATGGCCGCAGTGGAACAGGTCAAAGGAACCTCAAAAATTAAAAATCAAAATTTCAACTTTTTTGGACCCTTTTTCTTGTACCTAATTAAGAGCTAGAATGTTGTTGCAGATAAGGTTCAATAGAATAGCCTTCGTAGCAGGCTTATAGAACTGGGGGTTTGGTGGTCTTCGGCTGTTTTCTGATTAGCCTCCGTTGCAGGCTTATAGAACTGGGGGTTTGGTGGTCTTCGGCTTTCTGATTAGCCTCCGTTGCAGGCTTATAGAACTGGGGGTTTGGTGGTCTTCGGCTGTTTTCTGATCAGCCCAAAACGGAGGTAACTCAACCAGGCCGGCTATGTTGTTTATATGCAATTAGAAAATAGCACATAAAAGCTCCCAAAGACCCTGAAGACCCCCCCAATACCCCCAGTTTTTGGCATGCTATGGAGGCTACAATAGAAGAAGTTACAATAACAACAACAACAACAACAACAACGACTTATAAAGTATTAAAGTTGCTAGCTAGTTCGTTCTGCTGACTAGAGTGATGTAAAGTCAAAGTGTTTTAAAACTGGGTACCCGGTATGTATACGGCCTTGTCATTCGGTTTACGTTCAATTCCATTGGAGAATTCCAGGATTTTCTGGGTGCTGGCGATAAACTGTGACACGCCGGTCCACGGACATCTCTCATCTCCACTCAGTTCTGAAACCTAGAAAAAAAAAAGCAAAAATGAAACATTACGTTTAGAGTTAAAACTTTTGATCCAACACAAAGAAATTCACCTAAAGCTTAGTCACTCTGATCTTCCTCAGTAGACTGACCCAGTGAGGCTCGTAACGTGGTTTCTTTGGAGTGTGGTGTCAACACAGGGTCAAAGGTATTTGGTAGACGATGTCGGCCCCCGTCGCGGTTTTGGATCAAAAGTTTTAACTCTAAACATGTAACTACCAACACAAATGATTTTTAATCTTTAGATGGTGGTCTTCATGATCGTAAATTACAGCTGCCAGCCTACAGATACAACTGACCACAATACTACTATCGGGGGTCAATGACCTCCTTCATGGAGTAATGAAAATAAAAAAAAAAAAGAAAACATAATTCTGACCTCTTGGTTGTCAATGGCACTGTTATCTCGGTGATGGTCACGTGTCATCAGCAGCATGCGTCCTACCAGGTCCGTCGTTGATATACCCTGGGTACGAGAGCAGGTGCGGTAGCGGCCGCCATTTTTAAGCTGAAGAAAAGAAAGCAGTAGAGAATGTTGATTTACCAGTGAAATATTCGATCCGCATCAATTTGTTTTAAAAATGGAAAGCTCTAACTCCCGGATATAAGTCCCTGTAGCCACAAAAAAAAGGAATTTATAATATACGACACGTATCGTATAGTATCATGTCTATGTAATTCAGATCTATGCCTGAAATTGCTGAATGTGCTAGGGCAAACTTCTGGATAGTCTCCGAGTATCCCAGAACGTATGTAGATTTGCCCCAGGCACAGTTGTGGCAGAGTTGTGGCAGAGTTGCGGCAGAGTTGTGGCACAGTTGTGGCAGAGTTGTGGCACAGTTGTGGCACAGCTATGGCACAGTTGTGCCACAGTTGTGGACACCCGTAGAGTATCCAGACCCTAAGCATGATTCTGGACAAATTACGGTTCTGGATACCTGCACAACATGCAGTTTTCTGTACTTACGGCACTGTAACAGTCCTCCCCATCTACAGTAGTGCTGATGTCGTCACCGTGGACGCAGAAGTCACACCCGTACTTGTCAAGGTGTTCTGGAGTCGGGAAGTACGACGCGTCTTCTACCACTTCGTCAACCCACTGGATAGCACGGATCATCTGTGCAATAACATAAGGAATCGCTATGAGTGAGAAGGGAATCGACTTGGCTAAGATGCCAGGGAATTATAAGCTACAGGAGGGGTCGAGTATCTGTATCTATATCTGTATCTGTATAGCCGGTAGAACCGCCCTTCGGCGTAACACACCAGCTTCGCAGGCACGCGGCGCGGCGGCAGCTAGCTATAAAGTAGAGTAGATTGTGTAATCTGACTGTCACAGGGGCCAGGGGGTTTGTTAGGCTCGTTCTTTGAGTCGTTTGGGAAAATAAGTTCCTAGTGGGTGCGTGGAATACGTAACTGAAAGAGTTTTATCTCCAAGCAGATGTAGGCCTATCGTTTTGAGGCGTTTGAGAGCTTCTACCTCTATCTAGTGGTATACTTTTTTCTTTCTACGTGGCAGAAGGCAAAGAGTAAAAAAAAGGTCCTAAAACGGTATACTCAAGACCAAAAGACCCGTAAAGACCGAGATTCAGCCGAATTATTAAGCTGGTTTGACACCATAAATGAGTGAATGAACAATTAAACATTTTTTATTCCAACATTTCATGACTAGACAAGGTGATGGCACACTCAAGTTATATCAACTTATTTTATGCCGTCATCAACGCAGACGACGAATACAGGACAATACTCATTTTCACTTGAGTTAAGTGAAATGTATTTCAATTTTCACCTTATATCTTTCCTGCTCCGTCCAGACAGGCGGTCCTTTGTATTTGGAAATTGCGTCGTCCGAGTGAACTCCCACCACTAGCACGTCCCCCATCTTCTTAGCCTGTCGAAGGGCGTTCGCGTGGCCGAAATGCACCATGTCGAAGCAGCCGTCCATCCACACGCGCACCTGACGCGGGGTGCCTGATTCCGAGGCAGCTGACGCCATGCTTTATTTTCCTACAATGATATGAATCTTTGATTTGATATCATATAGTATGACATAATAGAATTCATTTTTAATCGCACATTCTTCTCCAAGTGGACTAAATGCACATGTGACCATATGTGGTCTACGACATGTAAAATACGGAGTACAATACACTAACAAAACCACAATCTAACACTATATACTGAAATTCTATCGTCACTTTGTACTAATTGTTCATCTACTAATGATTTTGTAAAAAAAATAAAGACAATTAAGACTAAATATTCATTGAAACACATAGAAACGTACGTGCATACTTAATCTACTATGTATGTTAATTCTTGCAATGTATAATATAAGAAATAGCCTAAAACACTTGACCATATAAAAATGTATTTCACAGCTTTACCAATATGTCATTTGAAATGAAAACTTTTTCAAATCTGCGATGGAACTGTTCAATATTTATGAAAAAGACTTATTCTTTATTATGAGTGTAAATGTTAGCTACCATTGTCTTTTAGAGAGTACCATGTATTGTAATGACATCCACAACTCAGCAAAATGGCTGCCAGTAGTTTTAACCTGAATAAACCATTCATTCATTTATTCATGCCAAATTTGCCTTCATAAACTAGATTGCTAATGATGAGGTCACATTTCCAAACCGGGGCCTGGCTGGGCAGTCCTATAGAACGAAAATTATGATATAAAAGACAACAAAGCATATAAAGGTTGAAAGAATTAATAATGGGAACTATCTGCGTATATTTATTTATAAATTCTTGATTTTCCGTGAAAAGAAACAGCCCGGCCGGGCCCCGGTTCGGAAGTGTGACCTCAGCATAAGACAAAATGAAGTGCATGCAAAGCGAACGACAGACAGAATAAGACATAAGGACTGTACCTTGCCGTACTCCTGGCTGTATTCCACGTCAAATGCCAACTCGACAGCTCTCTTATCACGCTCACATCCTGGTGTTAAGGTAGCGGAACACAGTTTTCGCCCTATGGGGATTTCTATTGTTAAGGACTGCAAGGTGACCCACTTCAACGCGGAAAAAATTATAGTAGGGTGCACTTCAGAAGTACGAAAAACGAATATGTTTGAGACGAAGGTATGACCTACAAAATATCTAAAAACAAAAAAAAACCTGTCGGCGTATTGTCTTGTGACGCCCTCTTTGAAATCGCCCTTTACCGGGGTCAAGCTAGACTGCAGCCGAATCACTCGGAAGGCCAGTTGCGTAATCTGGCGTATTTATACACGAACGGGATAAACTACACAATCCAAATCATACGGTCTGAGAGCCGACATAGTTCGGTACCTCACACTGCATTTGACATCTGGCTGCCTCTAGCACAAAACCTGCTACCCAGTCTTCAAGAAGTTTGTACGCACTCTTTTCTAAACCGCGTCATAGACCCGGGGGTCGCCCATTAATACTGTGTTCTGCTACCTTAATATCGGTCAGAAAAAAATCAATAAGGCCCCACCATATCCACTCAAAATGGCCTGCATTTGTTCCCCCATGTTTGAAGTACCTGTAAGTGGTTAAATGCTATTAGCGTGCAATTCCCACAAGTGGCCACTTGTATCAAGACAAGGGCTCTTGAAGTAAACTGACACCAAAGCCAGCAAGATGTCAGAGTAAAATCCTATTTGCTAACTATAGCCCCTGTCACACATTCGAAACATACACAATTAAAAGGAACTATAAGGATTGATGAAGACAGCAAGAGACTTCAATATTTTTTTATTCATCAAGACATCAAAACATAACGACAGTGTGGCGCTGCACTCAAGTTTATAACTTACATTAACAACACCACACAACAAAAAAGTACAATTAACATTTAAATACATAATATTATGTATGTATGTAAGACTTCAATATTATGTAAACTATCCGTCAAAACACTTTTGAGGAAAAGATTAGTAATCGCTAAAATGTGTGTTATTATATCGACTTAATTTAGTTTCGTCATTTTGTCTACTCATATTAAAGATAGCCTGGGTGCCACCCTACTTAATTCACCAGGACTCTTGGATCGGTACCCTGGGTAGTCAGAAAAAACGTTCTGCCTCATTTTTCAATGCAGTTCGTAGCTAAAACGAGAGGAGGCGCTCTGTTATTGACCAAACAACAGATTGTTAAAATGATGTTAAACGTGAGCTGAATATTTATAAGCTAATATTCAAAACTCATATACTGTCTGAATGCTATGATTAAGTCAGCCAACATTTGAAATTGCCTAATTCTACTTGGACAGCATTCTAATAAAAATAGCATCCTAGACAACTGTATTAGGTGTAACTTTCTTTCACATGAAGCCTAATTCGTGCTGGTTAAGAATACCACTATTTCAAATTAAATACATTAAAATAAATTTGATGCAATATCAGCTTAAGGATCGCCAATTTGATCCAAAGTTGTGATGGAGTACGGTTCCATGTCATGGTGTCATGGTGTTCTTGTGTCTTTTTTATGCTTTCTGGAGGGACTTTATTATATTTTCGAGTGTACCAGTGCTTTTACTCTCAAACAGTGTCGTGCTCGGTTATTTTTACATGTTGTTTCGGTGCAATATCAGCTTAAGGAGCGCCAATTTGATCCAACGTTGTGGTTGAATACGGTTCCATGTCATCTTCGTCTTGCATCTCCAGGTTTCCACGCGATGGACCCAAGTCGTCGTTCATGTCTTCGTTGCTGCTGATGTCGTCCAAATCCACACTGCTGTACGGTTTGATTGTTTGGATGTTGTTGAGGACATCAAGAGGTACCGTGAGGTGAGGTGTCAGCTCCTAGTTCTCCCTTGTTCCTCCTGTCGTTTCTGTGTACTGATTGGCGCTGTTGGCAGACGATCCGTAGAGACGATTAGAGATCAGTTGAGATGTATCGATCAGTTTGTGGACGGGATTCTGTCTTGCCGAATCCTCCTCAGTTTCTTCTGTCATTAGTGTGTCCTGATTGGCCAATCAGGACACAGATGATGCAGATGATGTGTACATCTGATTAGAGATGAGTTGAGCTGTGTTGATGATGACTCCGTGCCGTTTGTTGACGGGATTCTGTCTTGCCGAATCCTCCTCAGTTTCTTCCGTCTCTTCCTTGTCCCTGTCGTCACCAGTGGCAGATCCAGAGGGTTGGTACATCCGATTGCTGATGAGTTGAGAACTGATGATGGCACCTTGCTGTCCGTGGACCGGATTTTGTCTTCCCTTTGACACGTGTCGCTTGTACATTATAACCGCAACTGCCGTCCCACCTAGCAGAACTATCACGCCGACGGTAAGTCCGATAGGCTTGTAGATATAGTCCGTACGAGATTGCTGTCCGTCATCAAGATTCTTCTCCAATGCGATGCCGCGGGTACTGTCCATGGTACCAGATGTTGTTTTCCTCGCCTGTTCCGTGCAGGCAGAAGTTGTTTTTCGAATGTTTTCTGTCGGAAAGTTGGTGGGATCTGCTATTCGAGACGTCATTGCGTTGGGGAATGCGGAAGTCGATGTCATCAGGGATTTGGCTGTCGGTTCTGTGGATGAGCAGAATGAGTTAGTGTGGAGCGATTTGAAGTCGTAGCCGGCCAGTTCAGGCGGTGACTTGCACTTTAGGAGACCGGCCTGAGAGAGGACGCCGTGGTACAACTTCGTGGTGTTACAGACGAGCCATCGGATCCTACCGTCACAGACTAAGGGGTTTGATTTGAGATCGATGCTGAGCAGCGTGTCGACGATTTTCTTCCAATTCTCCTCTAGTATCGTAGTGATCTGGTTGTTATTGAGATGGACATTCACCCCGTCGCCTCTGGTGCTGTGACGAATCAGGGAAAGAGCTTCAAAAGGAACCTCCTTTAGTTGATTCGCGCTTAAACTCATCGTAGTCAAACTGTTGAGATGGACGAAGGCTCTTGGAGACACGGTTTCGATGAGGTTATAATATAGAAAGATTCCCTTTAACTTGGAGAGGTTGGCGAAGGTGGCGTCACCGATATGCTGGAGGCGGCTACACTTGATGGTGATCCATTGTATCGCCGGTACGGAGGAGAACGCACCCGCTTCTGTACGAGAAAAGCAAGCACAAGAAACTTTTAATCTTTAATCATTGTTAGGGTGGATTTTTTTGCCGTAGACTTTTTGTTGAGTTATCTTGTTGACCAACAGAATGACAGACAAAATGACAGAATGACAAACGCAACTACAAATATAACCTCCGTGACATTTTATGGACGTAAAAACAGAATCACCCTTGTCTGTCGACGCTACTTGTCCAGTGCTGTAACCAGAAACACATTTTTTCTGGACGTAAAAATATAGAAGATCGCCTAAATCTAACTCTTATGTATCCCCATAGATTGATGTATCTTTTGTCTGTAAAACTTTAAGTATCATGTAACAAGATGGCAACACCCTTACCGATTGCTTGGATGGTGCTGCCGCTTATAACGAAATTAATGAGGCTGCGTAACGGCGGAATGTCGTGTTTAGTGAGGGTGGTGAGGTTGAACAGGTTGTTCAGTTGGATTCCAATGACGGACTGGTTAAACCCGGTAGGAACGCCATTTAGACACGTCAGGCCATGATTTTCTGCACTGCAAACACGGTTAGCTGCAAACTGGTGAAAAACAACAAAGCTTATTATTATAAGAATGTTGATCTGAAATTCAATCAGGTACAGTTTCTGTTCACAACTTGGACAAAACGATTTTAAGTGCTGTGGTCTTACCGCTGAGCCTCGGCGGGTATAGCACTTCATAGAGATTTCGACATGCTGCCTCGGGCACTGGCAGTTATTCCTACTGTACCACTCGAAGCACTCTTCGGGGCAGGGCGAGGAACATTTCAGAACCACCAGAATCAAGACAACGACGCACAGCCTGCTCATTCTCTCCATGGCCGTACGACGTGCGCTCAGGCCGATCAAATCCACGAAAATACGTCTAGAAATCCGTATGCGGAACTAATATATAGTCCGACTGGTGTGTCCGGTAGTAGTTTTTTTCTGAAGGTTACCACCACA